CTGATAACCATACTCAATATATCCCATATGCATGAGGGTATTGGGGTAATGATACAAAAGGTTTGCTAGGCTGAGCCGGCAGGACTGAAGGTCGCAGGTTCGAATCCGGGGAGAGGCAGATGAGCTCCCTCTGTCATCTCCAGCTCCCCAAGCGGGGACATGAGAGAAGCCTCCCACAAGGATGATAAAAACATCAAAAATCATCCAGGCGTCCCCTGGACAACGTCCTTGCAGACAGCCAATTCTCTCACACCAGAAGCGACTTGCAGTTTCTGAAGTTACTCCTGACACGACAAAAAAAAAAAATCTGAATTGCAAATACAGAGTATTTTTATTTCATTTGACAGCTATTCAAGAAACCTGTGCAAGCTCCCGATTGGTTGAAAAACATCATTGCTGGTCATTGCTTTGTATGGCATTACATTTAGTAAATTATCATTGGTTTATTTTGAAAGTCTATTTATTGATCCGCCTCTGTGAAGGGCATGATCAGAAAGCAATGCACTGTGGCACTGGGAAATGAGTCCATGATGGGCTTGGTTAACACAATAGGGATAATCTTAACATACAATAAAGTGCACCCAGGTGTTGTTAGGGAGCTGATACAGAGGTCTAGGAAAAGGGAACATTCCCAGACTAGCCGAGGCCATATGCCGGATAGATAAAGAAACCCAAAAGTCTTTGACTCAAATTCCTTGTATGTCCCTCTCCCATTCTCCATAATTCATTGTGTGGGGATGATGGTGATTTTCTCTGGGTGAGGATGTGACAAGGACGAGGTGGGTTGATGTCCTGGGGAATTTCCAAAGAATTTCATAGAAAGGTTACTTTTTAGGGTGATTAGGAATAACCTAATCACCCTTGAACAGGAAGATATAGTTTTAGAATTTTTGTTTTTATTGCTTTTGTGGTTTTTAAATGTATTATGACGTGATTTTTGCTTGCTTTTAACCAATGTATGTATTTTTATATGACATCTAATTGTTGCCGATTTGTACGCTGCCCTGAGTTGCCTTCAGGCTGAAATGGGCGGGATAAAAGTGGCATAAATAAATAAATAAATAAATAAATAAATAAATAAACAAAGATCTGGCTGGCTGTGTTTTCCAATGGAGCCACAGAGGATCTTGGTATCAAACATTAAGGGTTTTCTTTGACACACTTTTGTGGGAATTTGTTGTCTTCAGCTCCTAAGATTCCGTGGCATTGAGCCATGGCACTTAAAGTGATGTCAAACTGCATTCACTCTACAGTGCAGATGCATCCCTAGACACACAGAGAAACAGAGTGGTGTATAAAAGTTTTGATTCCAAAGTTTCAATTATGCTTTTAAGTTACATGAATTTTGTGGACAGATGGTAGCAGCAACTCCAGAAAATTGTGGAAATTGGACTGCCAAGGGGGCTTGTCTGTACATGTGACCCATCTTTCTGGGAAATTTTTGCCTCTAAGTTATGGTTAGCTGAGTGAAAAATTTAGTCCGTGCTACAAAAGAATATTTTTTTATTCTGCAGTCATCATGTGGGTTTGTCCCAGCACTTTGTTAATATGAATAGAAGATTTTGCATGGAAAGGAGAAAGGTTTGAAAAGGTGTTCTTCAATATGTACAAAACACAGACCCAAACTATCTTATAATATCAAAATACTGTATTCTCCATAGAATATTTATGTGATGCAAGCAGTGCGAACTGTGGTACTAAACTGTCTTTCGTTGCTCCTTACTCCAGTGAAGCAATTCCATAGTGCCGTCCTGAGACAGTCTGCTCCCCCTCATTGCTTATACAGGTTGCTTATCTGAAATTCTAAAATCTGAAATACTCCAAAATCTAAACCTTTTCCACATGGATGAATGGCTAGAGATACTGACACCTTTATTTTCTGATGGTTTAATGTACACAAACTTTGTTTAATGCGCAACATTATTTAAATGTTTTATGCAATGTGTAGATGAAACATGAATGAATGTCCTGTATAGATGGGGTCCCAATAATAACAACAACAACAACAACAACAACAACAACAACAACAACTTTATTTATACCCCGCCACCATCTTCCCAAGGGACTCGGAGCGGTTTACATGAGGCCAAGCCCAACAACACATCACAACAGAAAAGCAATAACAACAATGCAAAGCAATACAAAATAATATAAATCACATATAACAACAACACACAGGATTTAAAAGCTTATGGCCAGGCCAGCTGTAATGATTTAAAATTTAAAAAATAACGCTGAGTATGACAAGATAGGATATATCTTGTAGGAGGGTTTTAAAAAAGTGTGGGTTTTGAAAAGTGGGGGGTACAGTCCAACACAACCCAATGGTTAAAGTGCATTTGTAAAGACATTTTGATGAGAGTTGTTCCTTTATTCTGGGAAGGCACACTGGAATAGCCATGTTTTCAGGCTCCTCTTACAGACTGCCAATGTTGGGGCATGCCTGATATCCTTTGGAAGTGAGTTCCAGAGTCGGGGGGCCACCACCGAGTAGGCCCTCTCCCTCGTCCCCACCAATCATGCCTGCGAAGGAGGCAGGAGCGCGAGCAGGGCCTCTCCAGATGATTGAAGAGATAGTGTGGGTTCGTACACAGAAATGCGGTTACGTAGATAGGCGGGTCCCAAACCGTTCAGGGCTTTGTAGGTAAGAACCTGCACCCTATCCAAGATCTCTCATGATGTACGTATATGTAAATACAGATATTTTTTAAAAACCTAATATACTTCTGGGCCTAAGCATTTTGGAAAAGTGATACTCAGCGATCACTAACTAGATTTACATTACTCAAAACAGAAGACTACCCATCCTCCACTGAGAGCAGTGTTTCATTTACAGGGTACCAATTAGTCCATGCCCTCCTACAGAGGGAATAGCTGTCATGACAAAATAGATATTAATGTTCACAATTTAAGGTTTAGGGCAATGATGGGCAATCTTTTGAGCTTGGTGTGTCAATACTTGCCAAAAAAATGAGCATAACTCGGGTGGGGTGTCACTTCGAGAAAAAAACGTAATTTCATGATATTTATAGTTTAATAACAAAAATATATTATTGTAATATATAACTGTATTTAATAAACCAAAAACTAATTATTTAACTTACCTGCTTTTTCTATAATGCCATACATCTCGGCATTATAGAAAAATGCTGGTGTAGGAGCTGAGGATGAAATGTCCTTCTTGGGATGTGGCCCCATCTTCTCTGTATGCGGCCACATGCGACCGTGTGTCACCGAAAATGGCTACGCGTATCAGTGCTGACACATGTGTCATAGGTTCGCCATCATGGGTTTAGGGGAAGAATTTCATGTTTAACTTAGGCTGTACGTGGAAGAACCCTCCAGTTAATCGTGTTTAGAACTGCATTGAAAAAGTTATAGGACACCTCACAAATATTCTCTAACATTTCACAGATGAAAACACAGATG